AGGGTAGAACAATGGCCCAGGATGCTGCTGTGACACTAGGGGGCGCTGATGCAGAATGGGGGAGTCCGGATCTTCCCATGAAGGACCAAACGGCCGCTAACTGCCCAGGGGATGGAACTGTGGGCAGGAAGGAGAACCAGCGATTCCACGCACGCCGTCCAGCTGTGTCCGTCTGTCCAACTGTGCTGCGGTTTAACTAACCCTAATGTCTGTCTTCCCCTGTTCCAGCGTCACTGACCAAATGTTTCTCCGAGCAGCCTCTGGATTCTGTTGTGTCTCCTGCCGGGGAAAGAGTCAAAATCTGTCTTGCTCTTGTTCTTTTTGTTGTTGTTGTTTCTATTTTTCGGATCTTTTTCTCTCTCTTTTCTTTGGTCTTTTTCTCCCTTTCATCTCTCTGATTTCGCGCTCATTTTTCTCTCTGATCTCACGTGCTCTCTCTGATTTCCTTCTGATGTTTCTCTGATTTCTGTCCCTGATTTCTCTTTCTAGTTCTGATTTCTCTCTCCCACTCTGATTTTTGTCTCTGATTTCTCTCTCCCTCTCTTTCAGTCCCTGATTTCTCTTTCTAGTTCTGATTTCTCTCTCCCTCTCTGATTTCTGTCCCTGTTTTCTCTCTCCCTCCCAGATTTCTCTCTCCCTCTCTTTCTGTCCCTGATTTCTCTTTCTAGTTCTGATTTCTCTCTCCCGCTCTGATTTCTGTCCCTGATTTCTTTCTGATTTCTCTCTCCGTCGCTGATTTCTGTCCCTGATTTCTCTTCCTCTTTCTGATTTCTCTCTTTCTCTGCCCATTGAAGTTTGATGCTAACCTCCATCCCCTTCCTCTCCCCTGTGCGCAGTGCGACTTCTTCAAGCGGACCCGCTATTACCGGATCATGCCCAAGTACCACGCGGTGCGGATCCGCCAGGAGGAGCGCTACCGGCCTGCTGACGGCTTCCTGCCCCGGAAGCACAAGAAACACTGGGTAACAAACTGGCAGGAGTCGGAGAAGTACTACTGATCCCTTCCTCCCCTTCCCGCCACCCCGTCTGCTCGGCTTGCCCCTGTGACCACGTCGCTACTGTGCGTAAATAGCCCAGGGACCAGCCCCCTGCCAGCGAGGGACATGTTATTTATCCTAAGTTATACCGCATAGAACGGCAACCCCAAAGCTTTCTCAAGGGGCCTGGGAGCGAGCTACACATCCCGGGGAGCAGCCGTGCAACGCGAGACCCGGCAGTGGGAACACGAGGGGCTTTTTGTTTTGCACAAATGGATTGTTTCACACATATAGACACACTCTTCTACCAGGGCACAATTGCTGTGTGTTCCGTCTGGGCCCCAGCCCTCACCCCGTCCCCAGCTCTCTCGCGCTCTGTCACGCTCACCTGTACTGCAAAGTGCCTCCTTACGCACAGACAGCGTGTGGTCTCGCACAACCCCTCTGCATCTCGGCCGTGCACTTGTGCTCACACGGTTGGGTCTTACCCGATGCTCTTGGGTGCACAGAGCATTGTTTTGCTTGCCCTTTTCACCCCCCCGCCCCCGTGCACACACACGTGCAGAGATGATCTCTTGTGCAATCAAGTCCCCGCACACACTTGGAAGCTTACGGCATTTTGCTGTGGGTTGTGTCAAGACCCCGAGCCGCCCATGAGCCACATGACTTCCCCCCCCCCCCCCCCCCGTCCCACGCTTGCACGCAGATGACTAGTGCACGGTCCCCAGCCGCCCCCTTCAACTCTTTGCACATGGATGCTCCTCCTCCTGGATCCGCCTGCACGCACGGCCACTCGTGCACAAACTCACTTGCACCGATTCACGCGTGTGGCGGCGGACGCAGCACACAGACGCTCGCCCTGACCCGGGCGCTCTTTGGTGCATGTTCGTGGTCGCCGCTTCTCCCCCGGCACACGCCGACGCCTGCGCTCAGCCTCCGGCAGGTTGCTCCCTGTTAAGCCCTGGCCCCGGCGTTCTGCACCGGGACAGAAGAGGGGAAGTGGCTCCAATACTCGGAACCCCCTGATCCTGCCAAGGCAACGCCTCTCAGCCTCATCACGGCCCCCTCTGTGCACTGCACTGGACACTGGATGTTTTGCCACTGGAGTTTCTTATGTGAGAGCTACTGGTACCTTTCCCTGCTTGTCCCCTGGCCGTTCTTTGGTGGGGAGGGGAGCAGCTGTTCTCCGGGGAAGCCGATTGTTACAGGGGTACAGTTCACGGAGAGCCATACGTTTGGTTTGGGAAGGGTGGACGTTGGGGGGGGAGGTAGGGGCAGGTTTTGTCATCACCTGCAACAGCAGCCCTCGGCTCCCCACCAAGGATGGGACAGGTAAGGGCTCTTTTCGGCCGGGGCTGGATCTGCTTAAGCCTAGAGCCGGTGGTCCCCTCTCCAGCTGCTCCTAGGGAGTAGCACAGGGTCTGACCCCAGGGGGTCCTGCAACAGGAAAGGCCTGGCATGGGATGCTGTCCCAGAGTTAATGCTGATCCTGCCACTGCATCGCTGTTTAGCTGCGAGACACCACCTGGGTCCTGCCCCCGGTCAGCGCTCTGCTGCCCCCACGTGGCACCCTCGGCTTGCTGCAGGCATCACCCGGGCCTCCCTTTCCCATCCCAACCGTGCAGCTGAGTTTTCATGCTACAGCTCCGTCGGCTGGAACGTTCCATTCCCAGCACGCCCTAGCCGCTGGCCACGTTCCACTGGCGCGCTCTTGCTAGGGGGCATTCTTGCAGGCATCACACAATGCTTTAATGGGGGGTGTCACCCTGGTTTACAATAATGGAACCTGCAAGAATGACAGTTTCCTACGCTGACCACTCTTTGACACTCCCTCGGTGCCCTCGGCTGGGGGTATTAAATTATTAAGTGTGTATTTGGGGTTTTTTTTTTTTTTTTTTGCTGTTGATCACTGGAGTTCGTTTCGTTTATGGTACTGGAGGTCTGGAGTCACTGCGCCTTGATGTGAATATGCTTGAGCAGTTATGATGGTGTCAAATAAAAATTGCTCCTTGATTTGTAACATGCAGTTTCCTACGGTTCCACCCAGGCTTAAACCAGAGATGCACACTCCGGGTATTAACCGTACGTAGCACTTTTCATTAGTAGATCTCAAAGTGCTTTACAAAGGCGGTCAGTTTCATTATCCCCATTTTACAGAAGGGGAAGGTGAGGTGCTCAGAGCAGGGCTGGGACTAGAACCCACCACTGCTGAGGGCTTATTCATGGTGCTCTCCATTAGGCCATGCTACCCATCCCTACCAAGCACTTTCTGGACTATAGATAGAGCTGGGGGGCGCCCTCAGGACACCAGGTCTGATACTTCTCTCACTTCTGCCAGCACAAAGCCAGAGCAACGGTGTCTAATGTACAGCTGCTTTTGAAACTGCGGGTTCTAGGCCAGGGTCTACATGGTGACGCTGGGCAGCAAAGGTGGATTGTTGGTTAGCCTGGGAACCAGGGAACGCCAGGGTCCGTCAGCGACCAGCTGCCTCAATAAGGAAACCGCCTTTGGATTCGTTACAGCCAAATTGTGGAAGACACTTCACCAGCATCCTGGGGAACGGAATCTGGCCCACTTGGTGCTGGCACGAACCCATTTGCAAACTGCATCACCGAGAAAGGAAAGAAGCATTTGGTTTTTTTGGTCATGGTGCAGTGGGGGCTACGGATACAAAGCACAAGCTGGGCTGCAGGAGGGCAGAAATCTAACTAATAATAAGCCATAGTCCTTTGGCCTTGCCCCTCGTCTCTTCATTGTGTGTTTGTACAGCGCCTAGCACACAGGGGTCCTGGTCCGTGATGGGGGCTGTTAGGTGCTACCCCAGTACCAATGATTATAATCTGGAGAATCTATGCAGGAGCTGTCATATTTTCTTTGGCCACCAGATGTTGCTGCGGTAGTTAGGTATGGAAAGCCCATTGGGAGCTACAGCTGTGCAAGGTTATTGCTGCAATCAGGGCAGTGATGTGGGGGTGAGGTAGACTGGCCAGCCAAGAGGACATAAGAACGGCTATACTGGGTCAGACCCAGGGTCCATCTAGCCCTGTGTCCTGTCTGCCAACAGTGGCTGGTACCACATACTTCAGAGAGAACGAACAGAACAGACAACCATCCAGTGATCCATCCCCTGTTGTCCACACCCAGCTTCTGGCAAATAGAGGCTAGAGACACCCAGAGCATGGGGTGGCATCCCTGACCATCTTGGCTAATAGCCATTGATGGACCTGTCCTTCAGGAACGTATCTAGTTCTTTTTTGAATCCAGTTATCGTTTTGGCCTTCCCAACAGCACCTGGCAATGAGTTCCACAGGTTAACTGCGTTGTGTGAAGAAATACTTCCTTTTGTTTGTTTAAAACCTGCTGCCTATTCATTTCCTTGGGTGACCTCTGGTTCTTGCATTATGTGCAGGAGTATATAACACTTTCTCCATGCCATTCATGATTTTATTCCTTCAGAACTCTTGGGTGAATACCATCTGGTCCTGGTGACTTATTACTGTTTAATTTATAAATTTATTCTAAAACCTCCTCTACTGACACCTCAATCTGGGACAGTTCCTCAGATTTGTCACCTAAAAAGAATGGCTCAGGTGCTGGAATTTCCCTCACATCCTCTGCAGTGAAGACCGATGCAAAGAATGCATTTAGCTTCTCCTCAATGGCCTTGTCGCCCTTGACTGCTCCTTTAGGGGGGGCTATAGGGCCCTGGTCAGGAGGGGGTTAAGGGAATGGGGGGGGTCTAGGGTGGGCTGTAGGGCCCTGGGCAGGAAGGGGTTAAGGGAATGGGGCGGGTCTAGGGTGGGCTGTAGGGCCCTGGGCAGGAAGGGGGTAAGGGGATAGAGCGGGGGGACGGGACAGAAGGGCCCTGGGCAGGGAAGGGTTAATGGGCGTGTCCCAGGTGGCACGTGGGTCTGAGCGCTCCCCATTGGCCCGCGGGGGATGTTTTTGAACCGCGATTGGCTGCGGGCGGCGGGGGGCGGAGCCGGCGCGGGATTGGCCGGCCCGGCCGCAGGCCGCTGTCAGTGGCACGGAGGGTCCCGGCGGCGCGGGGCGGCCCCGGGCGCGATGCGGCTGCTGCGGGCCCTGCTGGAGAAGGCGGCGCGGGCCGCCGGGGCCCCGTCCTACATCGAGCACTTCAGCAAGTTCTCGCCCTCGCCGCTCTCCATGAAGCAGTTCCTGGATTTCGGTACCGGCCCCTCCCCC